AAGGAGGGGGCTTTGTAGAAAACGAAGCGTTTGAGAGAGGCGGGGCATATAGGACCTACAATAATGTACAGTATTTGAAAAATAATGTGTTTTTTGAACATTAAAGCATGTCAACATATTCTGTTACACCAAATACACAAAATAATGATCTTTAAAAAAGCATCATATGACCCCTTTAACTAAAAGCATGGATTGTTTACTTATTTATAGTTAATAAACTGAGGACAAGTATCAATAGAGTTGATCAATGTGCTCTTGCTCTTCTGTTACCATGCACATAGTCCTTGATGTTGAATAAAAGCCACTGAGAATACATAATTTACCTGAATTTCTAATTCAACTATGATATTTTCCCCCGTGCAAAACGGTGTTTGATTTAAATTATTGACAAGGAGACGCATGAATGAAATGTTTGAATTTATTCTCAAATGTGCTTACGCCAGAGGGTGTTTTCGCATCTAGGGTTCATGGTCTGAGACTAACTGCCAGAGCCGGGAAACAGGAGTGCAATTAGCACTTAAATATTTTTTATTAGGCCTATAAGGAATGCTAATTATAGAACTCTTGAAGTGGAAATTTCCAAATGAAAATCATTTGCCAGCTTTAAGTGGGTCAATTAGGGGAAAAAGATTGTAAGACTGCTCCAGTCAAGAAATTGCTTTTCAGAGTGAGTCCTGAATTAGCACTGAGAAATAGCTACTGACTGTGTATGATATGCATAAATGGGGCTTACAGTACCTCTCTGACCTGTTCATTCTGTTTCAGCCAGTCCTGTGAAGAACAAAAGAAGCGAGCTGCAATCCAAAGCCTCATAAAGAGCTGAAAGCATAAATATTCAGTCTAACCTGCAGTCTTATTTTTCAGAAAATTGCATGATTTATCTATAAAATCACTTAACTAAAATTGTATAGCTATAATTTACACCAAGTGATATACTGTAGCTACAATAACCAATAATAAAAATTTTCAGCTGATGGCGCATGGTGTATTTTTTTATAACAGAACAGCAGTTTTACACTGTTTATCACTTTATCAAAAAAATATTGGAACAATTGCAACAATTTTCATTCAGAACTTGCTAGTAAATTCTACAAATAATTGTTAAATAATAAAGAATAATTCATTAATAAAATAATAATAATTAATAAAAAAGGCAAGTAACACAGTGACTTAAACATGAAATTTTGAAGTAGAATGACGGAAACAGTAATTTCTTGTGAAACACTCAAATAATGCTTTTTTTTGTTGTTTTTACATAATCATTTATTTAAAACAATTTAATAATTTACCTACAACTTTTTAATGCATGTATTTATTCATTTATTTATTTTATTGAGCAGGTCTTATATAACAGCCGTAATGTGGTCAAAGTGTGATTTGATTTTTTGAAAACAGTTTGCTTCATTGGTGTTACGGCTGAAGCAATACAAAAATAGTAATTATACGCAAATTCGAGTGCAATCATAAGCAATCATAACCCTTTCTCATGAGCTGTTTTTCTGTTCAGACTATCAATGAAATGGTACTGAGCTGCATTACATCTATATGGAAAAGAGGTACTTGGTGGTGTCTGCCTTCTTTGTATTCACACCCACATTTCATTTTTCCAATGAAGATCTAGAGCCACAATAATCTATCCA